CACACACACACACACACACACACACACACACACACAGAGGCTAATAGAATATGCAATAAAGAGAGAGAGAGAGGGAGAGAGAGAGGGAGAGGGAGAGGATGGCGGACAGAAAGAGACACAAAAAATGAATGCGTTTAAACGGGAAGACTAGCAGAGCAATGTTTCCGAAAGGGGGATCTGCGCGAATGTCTGTATATAGTGAACTTTGACACTACTATTCAAACTGACACGTTTCTATGGAGATCGCTGCCTTATATGGAGCTCATGTCAAGGAGCCAAGCGAGGGGCTGCTGGCAACTGATAATCAAAGGCGACTGACTGGTCAGAGCCCTGGATCGGGGGGGAGAAGAGATGGGAGGTGAAGGTTAGCCACGCCCCCGTCACCCCATTGGTCGGATGGATGCTGCCTTTTTTTTTTCTTCCTCCCTTTCTCTCTCTCTCTCTCCCTTGCCTTGTTACCTATGGCTGGAAGGAGGGGAGGGGGCAGCACAATGTTCATTCACAGCGCCCCTAGCCGCCGCTATTTCCTTCCAGCCCTGATTAGTCTTTATGTATGGCCTCAGCACTCTATAATAAAGGAGCATTAACAACAAAACTAAAAATAAAAAGGGAACGCATGACGCATAAATGGCCTGTAAATGGACAAACTTCAGCAGCAAGCCAATGCAATACAAGTCATGCAGGGAAAGTCACACACCACGGTGCAGTGCGACGCTGGAGACCTCTATGGAGGGTGGGCTGCTGGTAGAAAGTTTGGCTGGGTGCGGAGACGTTGCAATACTTGTCAATGAAACAATGATCGGCTCTCTCTCTTGTTGTCTGCAGAGATCAATGCTTTGTAGAGTCCCGGGAACAGTCCGCAATTGCTGGATCGGGCTGCCATCTAGCGTACAGTGAGCGCTGTGTATGTATGTATGGCAGCCAGCAACCAGCATGGGGACCAGCAGCAGGATGCTCGCACACCTTACAGCACTGGTAGCCAACACATCAAACTTTCCCTCCCCCTCTTTCCCCTGGGCTCCGTACGGAGTTAAACTCGCTGGTGGCCAAAGTGTCTACAGGAAAATTAAAAAAAGGGAAGATCTATCAATACATTGTCGAGTTTATTGTCATCCTGGTCCCTAACTATGATCATCATGCAGATTGCAGGGCAGGAGGGGGAAGGGGGGCAGCTTGAATCCATTACTGACACTTTCGGATCATTTCCAACCGAATAGTTAACGGTTATTTCTTCCCCGAAATAATGAAGAGATTTTCAATGGGTGCACGGCCAAGCGCCCCTATTGTACGGCCATTGATAGAAAGGATGTTATTGACTATGCAACAGTGGGCTGCATTGCTCGCTCTCCTCTCTCCAAATAAAACTCTCCCTCCTGTCTCCTGGTCAGAGAAAAGGTGAAACGAATAAGATTAAAGCAGACAAAAAAGATAACTCCCTGCCTATCACTTAGATTGTACTCCGGGCTGTGAGGAGGCGCACACAGAGGAGGCTGAGCAGCTTCCACCCAGGGACACCAAGTCACTCAACAACACAGGGCTGAATCCATCGTTCCAGGAGCCACACAAGATGCCCATCCCGGGGACAGCACACTGACTGCCAGCTGCCCCACTCATCTCTCTGCCACTACAAGTATTATGTGTGCCAGGCACGACTGCTGGACTGCTGGACTGCTGGACTGGGCTTCTTCAGCACTTCTTGGGAGGAAAAAATGTCTCTCTGTGTATGCAGGTACATTATTCATATTTCTATGCACACT